CATCGACCAGACTACACAGCGCAACAACCCAGAAGACAGAAATCTTCATACTCATCGCCCTGATGACGGAGGCAGTATGACCTCTAAAACGTTGGTTAGCATCGACCAGACTACACAGCGCAACAACCCAGAAGAGAGAAATCTTCATCGCCCTGATGACGGAGGCAGTATGACCTCTAAAACGTTGGTTAGCATCGACCAGACTACACAGCGCAACAACCCAGAAGAGAGAAATCTTCATCGCCCTGATGACGGAGGCAGTATGACCTCTGAAACGTTGGTAAACATCGACCATACTACACAGCGCAACAACCCAGAAGACAGAAATCTTCAGATAAAAAGATTGATGTGTAGATAGATCATTATCATCAGCGTGTATCTCTTAATGAGACCCTTGATATTTCTGTACAAGTACTTCATTTGATTTTTTTTTCGATTGGTTGAGGCGTGTTCGAAGAGAAATCTAAATGAAGGTGCTGATAGATCGGCTGAGATTCGAACCATATGTAGTGCTATCTTTGTCTCTACGCCAATATGCTCAGTTTTGTAAGCGCCTGTACTTCTCCCTGGATTTATGACTGTGATCCTTCATTTTTAAATCGACGAAGTGACCAGATTTTGAACTACTTGAACAATATCGTATGAGGACAGGGGTCGGTGCCTTCTGCATAGTCGTTCATTATGCGTTTCTTCGTGGCTGAGAAGCAGCTTCTTTGGAATAACAGCAGTAACCCACCAGGGAGAAAGCGTTCTGCTGTTTTTCTATCCAGATAAACTTTATGCTGCTCCATTTTCCTAGCGTTAGTAATCCTCGGGGATTTTATCAGCATAAAGAATGTCTTCCAGTCCTCTTCTAATATTACTATGGCTTGCAGATTAAGGTATGAAAAATTCATTTTCAACAAAAAAGTTTCTTACTTCCCGTGTGTTTGATTATGATTACCCGAAATCAAAATAAGACAAAGGCCCTTTGGTTACGTTGCAGGTAAAAGTTGAAGTTTTGTAGTGACTTAGATTTATTACTGAAACTAGATTTCTTGGCGACTAATGACAGGTGCATAGGTTTATAACATTTTAGCCGGAATATCAACTAGAAAAGATGCCTTTTTGTAGACTTAAGAGTCGATAAGAGGAAACGGTCTAATGCGTTGAGGGAAAGGCGCAAAGTGGGGGAGAGTCTTTGAGAACACGGCGTACATGAAGTAAGAGGACTGGAGTGACAGGAAGCTGGAGAAAGTTGCATAATGAGGACCTCAACGAGGATGAGATGCTGAACATATCACGTAACATCAAGATGGGAAATGCACACAAAATTTTGGATTGGAAGCCTGAAAGAAAATGACCACCCGACAGACCAAGGTGAAGATGGCGTTGTATAAAAGTGGATCTTATGGAAATATGGTAGTAGGGTGTGGATTGGATTAATATGGCTCTGGATAAGGACTGACGGCGGGCTGTTTTGTTCATAAAAACAGGTTGTGGTGATTGGATGGAGTTGGCTGGTTCTGGTTCCACTGGAAAGGTGTTGTGAATGAAGTGTGAACCTTCGTCGTCTGTGAGAGGTGGGATATTTCTTGACTAGATGACATCTGTCTGCGTCTCAAGGACTTTGCTCCACTATGCCCGGGGTTTATGGTTGACACTCCCTGCTGTATAAGTTTTTACTCGTTTGTTTTTATGCGTATAAGACTGTTCGCCAACAGTTTATACCACCCTGCACTACACTATTAATAATTCATTCTTTCTCATGGGTGTGTTCTTGCGAACGACAATGCGTGACCTGTGTGATGTGCGTGTGTGGGACGTTGTGCTGACATAAAAGAACCCTCCCTTATTTGGAATCATAAAAATGATTGGGCAATCTCTGTACTATAAAAGGTGATTCATTCCGTGCTGTTTGAAGGATAGAATACACGCTAACACAGCGTACTACGACACACTTCTGAGCTGAAAAGATTGTCTCTCGTTAAACTTAATGCTAATAGAACCTTTTAGTCTGTGACCGCACTTTTTGGGCACTCGAACCGATTGATCGTAGATTCGAATCCCATCAAAGCATGGATGGATGTATTGTGCTGTGTTGTATAGGTAGATACCTCGCGTCGGGCTGATCCTTCGTCCAGAGAGGCCCATACTTGTCCGAAAGGTTTC